CCAGGAGAAGATAAAATAGATGAATGGAACCTTCTAAGAATCAAATCTCTATGTACATCCAAAAACTACTCCAACAGGGTAAAAATGGAAACCACAGATTGGGGAAAAAATTTGGTCATGACATGTCAGATAAAGGACTTAAATCTAGAATTTATAAAATACTCGAGCATCACAACAAGATAAAGAAAACAACCCAATTGAAAAATGGGCACAGGATATGAACAGACACTTCACCAAAGACATTCAGATGATGAACAAACACAAGAAAAAATGTTCTAAATTCCTAGCTCTAAAAGAGATGCATATCAAAACAAGTATGAGATATCATCTCGTTCCAGTAAGAATCACAAAATTTAACAGAATGGCACACATCAAATGCTGGTGAGGTTATTCACTGTTGGGGAGAGTGCAAAATGGTGCAACCACTATGGAAGACTGTATGGTGCTTTCTCAAAAAGTGGGAAATAGAAATACCATTTGACTCAGCAATTCCACTACTGGGAATATACCCCAAACAAACCATAACTGCCACCCAGGCGGATATATGCACACCCATGTTTATTGCTGCTTTGTTCATAATAACAAAGAGTTGGAAACAACTCAAGTGCCCATCAACAAACGAATGAATAGAGAAGGTCTGGTATATTCATACAATGGAATACTATGTTGCATTGAAAAACAAGGAACTCATGCAATATTATACCAAATAGGTGACCCTGGAGGACGTTATGCTGAGTGAAGTATTTCAGTAACAAAAGGACAAATACTGCATAGTGTCACTGCCATAAAATAAAACTGACATCGGGGTTGAGGGGAGACTGAGACAGAAGGGATAAATAATGTATACTGCATTGAAACAGATGAGGGAGAGGACAGGAATCCAGAATGAAGGCTGCACAGTGGAATGGGCTTGGGGGTAGGGACTGCATAACTATGAAATAATTTTCCTTTTACTTTTCAAGGAGGAGAGCAAGTTGGGGGAAGGGGTGAACAGGGAGAAAAGTGCAACAATGAATGAATGGAAATCAAA